TGAATCTTTCACACAGACACACACAGGGGATGTGGCTCAGTGCTGACCATGGGCTAAGTCAGTGGGCAGAGACACCCCCGTGCCCATGCCCAAAGCATGCCGAGGGGGCAACCCTGCTTCCAACTCTCACCTCTGGACTTCCAGTCCAATCCCCTCCCTGCCTGTGGCAACCCTGGGCCCCTCTCCTGTCCACACGACGGGAAAACTCCGCTCTGTTGACATCTTGCAAGAGCCAGGCCCAGTGGCTCCCCAGCTCTGGCCTGTTTTATCTCTCTGCTTCCCTCTCCATTTGGGGAACTCTCACTTCCCTTTCCGTGCACTGAGCACGGCCACGTCTCTCAGAAATGCTGTGCAGAGCCCTGCTCAGGATTGGGCGCAGAGGGGGGCTCCTAAGTGGGTCCAACAATCATCCAATATTCTGTGGAATTTTGTACAACACCTTGCACGTGTAGCCTCGCGCACCTTAATCGGTCTGGAAATAAATGAGGATGGCTCCCTCCACGCCCCAGTGGCACAGCCCCACAGCCACTGGAAGGACGTGGGCTCTTGACAACCTGCTGCAGACGCGGAAACTGAGGCTCCGAGACGGCACGTCACTGCTCAAGGTCACACGAGAAATGGACAACGGAGGAATATTTATTTTTTAACTATTTCTTGAATATGTTTTCATTGCTTTTAGAGAGCGGAAGGGAGAGGGAGAGAAAATAAAGCATCAATGATGAGAGTCGTGGATGGGCCGCCTCCTGCACGCCCCGTACTGGGGATCGAGCCCGAACTCGGCCTGAGCCCTGACCGGGAATCCAACCCCGATCTCCTGGATCCCAGGCCCATGCTCAGCCCTGAGCCACAGCGGGCGGGCCAATGGAGGAACATTTAAATAAGAATCGGTTTTGATCCCCAAATCAGAGGAATAGCACACGTATTGTCCCCTAAATCTGAAGACGGGCGCAGGCAGGGCGAGGCCTCCCCACGCAGCCAGGGCGCTGGGGGCAGGGCTTCCACGAGGACGGCGTGTCTGGAAGGGGCTCAGACCCTTCTTGGGCTCTAGGCAGGGCTCCGGGACCAGAGGGGGCGCACAGCTGATCTGAAAACTGAAGGTGTGCATGCTCCAGGTGACACCGAATTGTCCCTGGGCGGGAGCTGCGCTCCTGCGCTCAAGGCAAAGGACAGCCCCGGGGGCTCAGTGGGCAGAGGGCGCCTCCGCCCCGCGGGCTGGGCCGGTCCCGTCGGGCGCAGCTGGGATGCAGGTCCGCGCCCGCGCTGCGGTGGGTGCAGGAGGCCACCAGCCGCGGGTCTCTCTTCCCTCCATGTCTCTCTCCCTCCCCTCCCCTCTCTCTAGAGGCAACGGAAACATACTCTCAGCTGAGGATTGACCACAAGCAGCGAAGCCACGAGCAGCGGGTGAGGGCCGGCGGCAAACCCAGCAAAGCCGGGGGCTCGGGGCGGGAAACAGCGCTCGCGGGGACGGGGCAGTGTGTGCGCGACCCCGGGACACCCTCCTGCCGGACCATGGACACAGGGTCGGCGGAACGCCGGGCCCCTCGCCGATTAAACTTATTGAAAATAAATAAATGACACGATGGGCTCCGTTGTGACAGAGCGAGCCGAGCCCGGTTCCCGCGGCGGGAGGCGGTCCACCAACATGGAAAGGAAGGCGAATTGTCCGCACAGACCGCAGCTCCGGCCCGCATTACAGCTGCTCCACTTTTGGGAAAAAGCATGGTCCCCGGGGGCAGGCGGGTGGGGAACGTGGGGCGTGAGGAGCGAAGGGGCCCAGAGGCTCGACCCAGAAGGGGGGGCCGGGCCGGCGCCGCAGAAAGGGAAGTTCACGAAAAACATCTGAAAGAAAACCCAGACTCCAGCGCTGGAGGAGGGCCGGGTTTCCTTCCCCTATTTCCCGCATTTCCCCTCTGAGCTCAGTGTCACAGGGACCCTCGCCCTCAACTGCAGGGTGACAGGGTGAACGAGTCCCCGCTGACCTGAGCCCCGCGGGCCACAGGGACCCGCGTCTTCCCGAAGCTTCTCCAGGGCCCGGGTGGCACTGTCCGAGGTGAGGAGCCCACGGGGAGGGGCGGGTGGCAGGGCTGAGGGTGCGGAGGGCCCGGGGGGGCTCTGACAGGGAAGGACGGGCCCTGGGCCCCCGGGAAGGGGCGTCTCAGGAGGCCCCGGCCTGTTCCTGCTGCATCGGGGACAACAGCCCGGCGCCTGCAGAGGCTGCTCCCGCCCGCGGGCTGCTGACCTGACAACCCCCCGACAGCAGGACCCCTCCTAGGGACCACCCTGTGCGTCTGTCTGTCCTTCCTGGGGCGCCGTGGTCCCCTCCCCCTGCACAGCTGAGCCAGAGGGAGAAGACACCATGACCCCCACCCTCGCGGCCCTGCTCTGCCTCGGTGAGGGGGCAGGAGGGGAGGGGAGCGCTGCGCTGCCAGGAGACCCCAAAACCCAGGAGGCTCGCGGGAGGGGGTCTGCCCAGGACCAGGGCGGATCTCTCACAGAAACTCTCTTCCAGGGCTGAGCGTGGGCCTGAGGACCCCAGTGCAGGCAGGTGAGTCCGTCCCCAGGTGTCCCGGGTCCCGCTCCTCATTTGGGACAAGACACCACCCCCCCAGGCAGCTGGGGAAGACCGAGAATGGATCTGTGTGACACATGGGTGACACCTGAGACGGAGAACTGGGGACGGCGTGGGAATATCTTCTGACCCAGCCTCTGATTCCCTCCAGGTCCCCTCCCCAAGCCCACCCTCTGGGCTGAGCCAGGCTCTGTGATCCGCTGGGGGAGCCCTGTGACCATCTGGTGTCAGGGGACCCGAGGGGCTCAGGAGTATCACCTGGTTAAAGAGGGAAGCCAAGTGCCCTGGGACAGACAGAAGCCACTGGATCCCGGGGACAAGGCCAAGTTCCCCATCACACAGATGACAGAGCTACATGCAGGGACATATCGCTGTCACTATCTCAGCCCCCAGGGCAGGTCAGAGCCCAGTGACCCCCTGGAGCTGGTGGTGACAGGTGAGAGGACACTCAGGGGTCCCAGCCTCAGGCTCTGTCCTCAGGAAGGGGGTCTGCTCTCAGGGTGTCCCCCTCCCACAGCCCAGGCCTGGGGGTGAGGGAGGTGTGACCCCATCTAACACACTGCCCCCTCCTCTCCTAGGATTCTACAGCAAACCCAGCCTCTCGGCCCTGCCCAGCCCCGTGGTGGCCTCAGGAGGGAACGTGACCCTCCAGTGTGGCTCATGGCAGGGATTTGGCAGGTTCATTCTGACTAAGGAAGGAGACCACAGGCCCCCCTGGACCCGGGACTCACACCAGCACCCCAGTGGGAAGCTCCAGGCCCTGTTCCCCGTGGGCCCCGTGACCCCCAGCCACAGGTGGACCTTCAGATGCTATGGGTGTTACAGGAACACCCCCCAGGTGTGGTCAGAGCCCAGTGACCCCCTGGACCTACTGGTCCCAGGTGAGTCCCATTACTGTCCCATCCATGGACTGAGATGTCAGCCAGGTTCTGGGCATCCTTGCTGGGAGGGGAGCCCCATGTGAGAGGATGAGGGGAGGGGAGCACAGGGGCTCCTGGGTCAGAGACACAGA